GGGGGGGTACAGAGACCCCACCCACGGGCGCCCCCAACCCAAAATTCAACCCCAAGCCCGGCGGGGGAGGGGGCGGCACCAATGGGTGCTGCAGGGGCAGAGCTGGGGGCAACTGGGAAAAGGGTGGGGAGGGGTCAAAAAGTGCCCCCCACCCCCTGAAATTTAAGCTTCCCACCCCCCCAAAATTCAGCGTTTAATTTAAATTTAATCAGAAAATTTAACTCCCCACCTCCCCAAAATTTAATGTTTGATTAAAATTTAATCGGAAAATTTAACTCCCCACCTCCCCAAAATTTAATGTTTAATTTAAATTTAATCGCAAAATTTAATTTTCCACCTGCCCAAAATTTAATGTTTAATTTAAATTTAATCGCAAAATTTAATTCTCCACCTGCCCAAAATTTAATGTTTAATTAAAATTTAATCACAAAATTTAAGTCCCCACCTGCCCAACATTTAATGTTTAATTAAAATTTAATAGCAAAATTTAATTCCCCACCTGCCCAAAATTTAATGTTTAATTTAAATTTAACCGCAAAATTTAATTCTCCACTTCTCAAAAATTCAACATTTAATTTAAATTTAATCGCAAAATTTAATTCCTCACCTCCCCAAAATTTAGTGTTTAATTTAAATTTAATCACAAAACTTAATCCCAAAATTTAACCTCCCCACCACCCCAAAATTCAACATTTAATTTAAATTTAATCGCAAAATTTAATCGCAAAATTTAACCCTTCCCCCACCCCAAAATTGGGTGATTTTAATCCCTCCCACCCTAAAATTTAACTTCTCCCACCCCACCCCCAAAATTTAACTTTTAATTTAAATTTAATCCCAAAATTTAATCTTTTCTCATCCCAAAAATTGGGTGGTTTTAACCCCACCACCCTAAAATTTAATCCCCCCCACCCATAAATTTAACTTCTCCTGCTTCTCCAAAATTCAACGTTTAATTTAAATTTAATCCCAAAATTTAATCCCAAAATGCAACTTTTTCTCCCCAAATTTGAAATTTTTCTGGGACTTTAATTCCTCCACAAAAGCACCCATGGGTGCCCCCCCTGCACCCCAAAACCCCCCAAAATTGCCCCAAAATCTCACCTGGGGGGGCGGGGCTTTGTCCCCCTCCTCGGGGCGAAGGGTGGGGCGGCTCAGAACGATCCCAGTCTGGGGAGGGCACAAATTGGGATAAAAACCCCAAAAATTGGATTAAACCCCCCCAAAAAACTGGAATAAACCACCCAAAAATTTGGTCAAATCCCCCCCAAGAATTTACATTAAACACCCCCAAAAATTGAATTAAACCACTCCAAAAAACTGGAATAAACCGCCCAAAAAATTGAATTAAACCACCCAAAAAATTGGATTAAACCACCCAAAAAGTTGGATTAAACCACACAAAAAATTCGGTCAATTCCCCCCCGAAAATTTACATTAAACCCCCCCAAAAAATTGAAATAAACCACCCAAAAATTGGATTAAACCCCCCAAAAATTGAATTAAACACCTCCCAAAAATTAATCACCCCCAAATTTGATTAAAATTCCCAAAAAAATTGAATTTAACCCCCCCTAAAATTGAATTAAACTCCTCCCAAAAACTGACCATTGGAAAATTTGATTAAAATACCCCAAAAATTGAATAAAACCCCCCTAAAATCACACAAAAATCCCAAAAAAGAGCCCCCCTTGCAGGGGATGTCAGGATTTTGGGGGGATTTTTGGGGGGTTCCCCAGTTTTGGGGGTCTCACCTGTAGGGTGTAGGCCTGGAGCCGCTCCACCAACTCCTCACGGGTTCCTGGGGGGGACAGAGGGGGTCAGAGACCCCCAAATTCCACCCCAAAAAAAACCCCAAACCCTCCTGAGGACCCCTCCCCAAATTTTTCTGACCCTACAGACATCGGGACCCTTCCCAGGACCCCCAAATTGCACCCCAGGGATCCCCCAAAAACTCCTTGATACCCCCAAAATTCCCCCAAATAACCCCAAAACTCCCCCGGATGAGCCCAAGAGCCCCAGTTTCACCCCCAAACCCTCA